GAGCAGTCGAGCGTGGAGGCCAGCCACGACGCCGTCATTCAGGTCAAGAACAAGAACGTCGTGGCCAACTCCGAGGGCGTGTCCATCGTCATGGGCCGCAATCTGGAGGTGGTGCTGGCCGACGAGGGCGGCCGCGAGCGCGCGCGGCACCGTGTGCCCTACGGCTCGCGCCTGCTGGTCGACGACGGCACCCAGGTGACCAAGGGCCAGAAGCTGGCCGAGTGGGATCCCTACACGATCCCCATCATCACCGAGAAGGAGGGCATCGCGAACTACGTGGACCTGGTCGACGGCCTGTCCATGCGCGAGGTCACCGACGAGACCACGGGCATCTCCAGCCGCGTGGTGGTCGACTGGAAGCAGCAGCCGCGTGGTTCCGACCTGCGGCCGCGGATCACCTTGCGCGACGAGAAGGGCGACGTGGTCACCCTGCCGAACGGCACCGAGGCCCGCTACTTCATGTCGGTGGACGCGATCCTCTCGGTGGAGAACGGCGCCAAGGTGCAGGCCGGCGACGTGCTGGCCCGCATCCCGCGGGAGTCGACCAAGACCCGCGACATCACCGGCGGTCTGCCGCGCGTGGCGGAGCTGTTCGAGGCGCGCAAGCCGAAGGACTACGCGATCATCGCCGAGTCCGAGGGGCGCGTGGAGTTCGGTCGCGACTACAAGACCAAGCGCCGCATCCTGGTGCGGCCGGAGGACGGCGGCGACGCGGTCGAGTACCTGATCCCCAAGGGCAAGCACCTGGCGGTCCAGGAAGGCGACTACGTGCGGGTCGGCGACCTGCTGATGGACGGCAACCCGGTGCCGCACGACATTTTGGACATCCTCGGCGTCGAGGCGCTGGCCGAGTACCTGGTCAACGAGATCCAGAGCGTCTACCGGCTGCAGGGCGTCAAGATCAGCGACAAGCACATCGAGGTGATCGTTCGCCAGATGCTGCAGAAGGTCGAGATCATGGAGGCCGGCGACACCACTTTCCTGGTCGGCGAGCAGGTCGATCGCGACGAGTACGAGGAGGCCAACAACCGGGCGCTGCTGGAGAACGGCATCCCGGCCAAGGGCAAGCCGGTGCTCCAGGGCATCACCAAGG